TCAGAACCTCCATGATTTCTAAGTGGAAGAACTTAGAAAATAGCACATACTTATTTTCCTCACTCTAAAGATTTAATTTCCGACGGGATCATTTTTTTCCCAGCTGCTGTTTTTTCAGTAGAAGAGTCTCTGACCTCCTGTTGAAGTTATGAGAGTTTGACACTGAAGAAGAGGAGGAAGCTGAAGGTCAGCTGCTGACTGGAGCCTCTGCTTTGCTGTGCAGATGGCTGCGGGCCTACGAGAACGCCGTGTCCTTCCACTTCAGTAATTACTTCGTGGGTCATCTGAGTGAAGGCACCAGCATGTTGGCTGGAGCAGGATTCACTGAGGAGAAAGACAAAGTCCACTGGTAGGTTCTGCTGCTGGACCCGCCCAGCTGTCGGTGAAACCATGACGACGCTCTGCTGTGTGTTCAGGGATATGAGCGTGGTGAAGCCTCTCAGCGTGGAGATGCCTCGCTCCATGGTGCTGGTGGTGGTCTCCTGGAACATCCCCATGTCCCAGTGGTTAAAGAGCTGTGAGTCCAGCATCCAGACCTGTATGATGGAGAACTTCACCTGTTTTACGGCGCATGGATGATCTCTCCTCTGTCTCCCTCAGATGTGTTTAAAACCTCCATGAAGCTGGGGACGTTCCCAGCGATCCTGGTGACCTACACGGCCAGCGCCCTGCTGCATGTCAGTGAACTTTAGCCTGCTTCTCTGTCCGGTCTGGTCCACCTGTAGCTCGTCTCATTCCTCCACCTGTGTGTGTGTGGGTGTGTGTGTGTACTTGTATATGTGACCTATTTAGGACCGTTTTTGGTATATTTGCTGACCTTCTGAGGACCAACAGGCCTTATGGGGACCAAAGGCTGGTCCTAATGTGGGGTTGGGTTATACTGATAGACTTGGACAGATTTATTTTGTCATTTTGTAAAGATGAGTGTATGCAGGAAGTCCAAGCGCTTCTGGGCCCTGTTGTAGTCCTTGATCATCTGAATGCCTTTCTACATCCTCCTGGTGTTGCTGTTGTCGTGGAAAAGATCCTGGATTTTCTGGCTGTGGTTTTGCTTCACTGATCTGATGAGACAGCTTAAGTTGGTACGTGCTGTTCTCAGTGACTCTTTATCACCAGACGTGAAAGCTGAGTTCGGTGCTTTTAGTGATTTCCGAACCTCTTCATTTATCCAGGGTGGTTGGTTGGCCCGGGTGGTGATGTTGTTTTTGATGCTGATGCCCTCAATATATTTGTTGATGTAGCCTGACAGTCATAGCATACTCATCTATATTTAATAAGTTGTCATATGTTGCTGCAGCCTTGAAGATGTTCCAGTCAGAGCTTTCAAAACAGTCATGGAGTGTCTCCATGGCGCCCTCAGACCACACTCTGACCTCTTTAACTGTTGGTTTAGCCCTGATCAGCTGGGGCTTATACGCAGGGATAAACATGACAGATAAGGGATCTGATGACCTGAGGTGGGGGCGGGGAGGCTGCTCTGAATGCATCTTTAATGTTAGAGTAAATCAGGTCTAAAATGTTTTCACCTCCAGTTGCAAAGTCCACATGTTGGTAGAAATGAGGGAGAACAGTCTTCATGTTAGCCTGGTTAAAATCCCCAGCAATGATGGAAACACCCTCTGTGTGCAGATTGGAGCTCAGAGATAGCCTGGTTTAGAGTGTTCATGGCCTCTTCAGTGTTAGCGCTGGGAGGCACATAAACAGCAGTGATGCTAACCACACTGAACTCTCTGGGCAGATAGAACGGCCTGCAGTTAACAGTCAGAAACTCGATGTCAGGAGAGCAGAAGCTGGCGACTGATTTAGCATTTTTACACCAGCTGTTGTTGATGTAAACACAGATTCTTACCGCTTAGTTATTTTCTTCCTATCGGCGCGGTACAGCGTTAGCCCCTCCAGGTTAGCAGCAGTTACTAATCTCCTTCTTTGATGACAGTTCCAGTCGAAGATTATGCATTTTGCTTCTTTGACAATGGTTGGGCTTAAATGCAGTAAGTAAAATGAATGTGAGTCAATGTCTTAATACGGATAGAAATACAAACTTGGGTGTGTGAGTAATGTGTGGGCATGTATTTATTACATGGTGGGGACCAATTTCCATAAGCCTTATGACATCGTTGGGACTCTAGTGGGGACCAATGTCTGGTCCACATTGGTTCAAAAGCTGTTTTAGGCTTAGGTGTCTAGGAGTAAGGTGAGAATTGAGTTTAGGTTAGGATAAGGGTTAGGATTAGTGTTAGGTATGAACCTTTAATGGTTAGGGTTAGGAAGTCAAGTTGGAATGAATGGAAGTCAATTGAAGGTGCCCACAAGGATAGAAAAACTTTCTTGTGTGTGTGTGTGTGTGTGTGTGTGTGTGTGATTGGTGCTGAGTGGGAGGATAACGTTTATATTTTACTAATTAACTAAGGAACTTTTTTAGTTGCGAGTTTAACGTTTCTCTTGTGGCCGTTTATAAAAAAAAACTCCATCAGTGTCTTTAAGGTTTTTAAGCCTTTTTGTTGATTTAAAGGCTGTTTGGATTCTGTGACTGAAGCTGTTTTTAATCTTCTTCAGGGTCTGAGTTTTCACCTGGGAGCCGTTCTGCTCACGCTGGGATTCATCACCTACGTGGAACACGGTACGCTGAGATGGCTGCAGGGCCGAACCCGCCTTTATGGGCCAGTAGGTGGCAGCAGCGACGCTCTCCAATAGAAAGCTCTCATTAAATAATATTAAATAAATTGTTACTTTATTGATCATAAACTACTGGAAAAAAATAGAAGTTAATTCTTTGCATCAAAATACTGAAACTACGTCCGACAAATATAGAATTTGTTCCTGCAGTCGTCCAGGAGTTTCTGTGTCATTAGAGATAAATAATTGAATGTTTAAATCACACAGGAAATGGTTCATTCAGGCGGCATAAATGTTTGAATATTTGTACAATTTTCACAAATAACTTCTTGGAAGTGTATCTGAAATATGGCTGTTCTCCTGCTGGTAAATATTTTTGCCCGACCGTCGGCCTGTAATCCACCTTCAGTGTAAATCAGTCGCTACCTGCCACAGAAATAAAAACATGGAGCGAATAACAGACGAGTTTCTAAATAAATCGGTAACTAAAGCAGGAGGAGATATCTAAAGAAAGCTTCTTCATTTTAATACAGCAAATACTAAATAAAAGAAATATATATAAATAAGGACAACTGTCTCTCCTATTGGGTTATCCGTGGTGCATGTCGATTGATGAATTATTGTCTCCATCTTTTGCATGTAATCAGTGCTGAGGAAGAGGATGGCCTTCATCCTTAATGCCTGCATCCTGTCCAGACCCTGTGCCTCAGACTGCAGCCATCGACACAAGAAGGTAGACCCAAAGCTCTGCTCTGCTCCAAAGCCAAGAAAGATTGAAGAATTGCTTCTCAATCAGCTTCTCTGATGGAAATAACTTCATCAATAATCTCTATTTAATCTGATAGAGCCTATTGAGGCAGCTAAAGATTAAGGTCATGGTAAGGAGGACTTCCATCCTCCAAGATCAGAGCTCATGAAGAGAAATAATTAATAGGAGCAGGAAGCTGCAGAGCAGCTAGAAAATGAACGTTAGTAATTTATTTGTCACCAGTAGATGGAAAACTGCTCCAACACATTCATACCAGAACCAACGCTGAGCTATTGATGAAAGATCTTCTAGATGTTTCTGATTCTCCTTCTTTTTGCTTCTTTTTGTGAATCGATGTCTGTTGCCTTTCTGAGGTTTATTAATCAGTCGAACACCGACTTTATAAACGCTTCTGATTCGCTTCAAACTCTGTTTTTCTTCTCAGAATGTTTGGGTTCTGCTGCTGAACCTGGTTTTCAGCCTGATGGTGGTCTTCCATCTCGCCTACTTGGGCTCCATGTTTGATCCTGGATCAGATGAACAGGAAGTAGAAGAGGTAAACGCATTTTCTGTGTTGCTATGGAAACCTGATGGTGGCGCTGTAGCATCATTATTTCCAGATAAGATC